AGGGTATGATTTTCTGACTCTGAATGCAACTCTCTGTATAGGTTGGACTAATTTGCATAAGGAATTTTTAAAAACTGCCTTCTGGTGGTCAAAATTTGAACTATTTGTTTAATTGCAGAAATCTTTTCCACCTAGTCCATATGACGTATGTCACCAAAATCCGATTGGCAGAGCGGGTTCTACAGGGGTCTGAATAGGGTCACTTTAACTATAAACACCCTGTACCTCTGTTCATACTGGCCTACCGCAGTCCTTTCTACGATGCAACCTATCTTTTCTCCTTCCTAGATGCTCTTCGGTCGGGACTTTCGTCAGTCTTGTGATCTCTTGTTTGGTCACCCTCGGGAATCTGTCTTCATCACCCGAGAGTACATTCAAGATCTACAGGCAAGGTAGAGTACACTCAAGATCTACAGGCAGATACTGAACACATGCATAATTTTGTACGAGAGCAAGTCAACCTGGTGACGGAGAAGACAAAGACTTGATAAGACACGAAAAGCTACAGTACATAGATTAATGTCTAAACGTATAATGTAGTATGGTTATTATGATAAGTACGACAATTTTTAAACATTTTCTAACTGCAATTATTTTATAAAGTATTACTTTAATTTAAAAATGCAGCTAGAAAGCCTTTAATTTAAGTTGTAGAGACATTAGGTATTTTTTTGGAAACGAGAGAGATGGATAATGAGAAACGCCCTCGTCGGGAAACGAACCACGGACCTCTGGAACCACGGCTCAGCGTGCAGCCCAGCACACCACGAACGCATGCCAAGAAGGTGGGAGAAATACCTTATATACTCCCCCTTTTAAAGGGCGACTGAGTTTTTAGGGGACCCAATCGAGAAATCGTGGGTGTCGAGGATCATCATAATCCTTTTAGTTCAGGCGCCACTGTAGAGATATAAGAAATTTTTGAAAGCAGGGGATATGAAAAATGAGCACCGCTTTCGCCGGGAATGGAACCGCGGACCGCTGGAATATGCGCTCAGCGTGCAGACCACCTCACTACAAAGCCATGCTAAGAAGGCGGGAGAAATACCTTATATACTCCTCCTTTTAAAGGGCGACTGGGTTTTTTTTTAGGTGAACCAATCGCCCTATCCTGGGCGTGGAGAATCATCATTCAGCACTCTTTTAGTTTAGGCGCCATTGTAGAGCCCTTATGTATTTTTGAAAGCAGGAGATATGAAAAATGAGCAACGCCTTCACCACTCTTTTAGTTCAGACGCCATTGTAGAGACATTAGATATTTTTGAAAGCAGGAGATATGAAAAATGAGCAACGCCTTCAGCGGGCATCAAACCGCGGACCGCTGCAATACCACACCACGAAGGCACGCTAAGTAGGTGGGAGAAATAACTTATAATCTTTAGTTAAAGCTACTTTCCTGTCCCTTGGAATTTCAGATTACAATTTCCTACCAGAATATTTTTTTAGAATCGCGTTTAATGCGAATGAGTAAGAATAGTATTTAGGTCGAAGTTCCACTGATTTCGTTAGAGAGCCTCAGAGTTTCTGACTAGCGCGCCTTCGCCTTTTGGCTACGTCTCTCTCTACACTATTACTACGGTCGGCCGTATTTTAAGCCCTTGATAGCGGTGGTGTTGGTGTATTTTATTATGGCAAAGCACACTAGGGCTATCTGCCTAAGGGGAGGGATGCCTTCGTGGAGGGCTTTCTAAGGGAAACTGGCTCGTATACACGTTACACATGGGGAAAACCACGAAAACATCCATGCAGCCAGCCCGTTTGTGGGATTCGAACCTCGGACCGAACTACCAGCAAGCCCTTGATAGCTTGCTAGCTTATTCGATAAATACTTAGAATTTTGATAACCTCGGCTATATCTTTTTAGTTAAGCATTAGTTAATTTTAATTCTTGTTACTTTGAGTTCAAGCCCGAGTGGACGCATTGCTTTAAGCTCTGAGAAAGGAGCTGACTGTTCAATTCTATTTTTGATTAATAAAGGGTAATTCTCCCTTCTTGAGTTTTACGTCTCTGCTCCCGAACTCAAGCGATTATTCGCTTATGTGCTAACGATGAAGCTGTTATACAAAAAGTTGGAACCCCATAAACTAAAGATCTCTGAGTAAATGCCGATACATAAACGGTTTCATATTCGAATTTTTTATGAAAATCATTTTATAGAAAACTACCCGCTACGCAGCCAGCCTTCGTTTGGCTTTTAAATGTACCGAAAAAATGCCTAAAGGGAACACCAAACATTAAATTTAAAAATTGCACAGAACTTTACTAAAATTACAATGAAATAAGCAATATCCCTTAATACAAATATTAATTATTCTAATAAATAAATTAACCAACTTCCCGTATTCAAGGATTCAAACGGTATAAAGGAAGTTAAGAACTTTGTATGCTAAACAACTCACGCAGAACTTTTTATATAATTAAAATTATATTAAACGTAATTAATATATTAAACATAATTAATTATATTAAACATAATAATTAAAACAAACACCCTGGAAAAGGTCAGCGTCTATCCCCCACCAAAAAAAAATAGCTCAAATCATAGATATTAATTAAAAACTCTTTAAACACTAATTTCGCCTTCATTTTTCCAAGTAGCAACAGTGCTGATATCAGCAACAACGACCACAGTGATATATCAGCATCCAAGAGAAACATTAAATTTAAAAACTGCACAGAATCATCGTCCTCATGTTTCCAAGTGGTAGTCCAACTGTTGCCAAAACCATAGTCCAACAGTCAGCAGTCCAACTGTTGCCAAAACCACATTTCTAAAAGAACGAAACTATTCAAAATGGTAAAACTTGCCAGAAATTTCTTCTATTCAGTTCTCACTCATCCTAACAACTGCATCAACTCACTTAGATATTCTGCATTTCCCAGAGAAAAACACAAATATCCATCTGACATTCTCCATCCTTAACATTTTTTATTCATACTAAATTCTTTAGTTCACATTTGAACCTTCAAACAGAAACTCACCTTTTTCGTCGACTGATGGCAGCCACCTGACTTTTACCTTCGTCTTTCTGTTTTACTGATGTTCTTGACGTGATACAGAGTAAAAAAGAGGCTCTGCTTTCTGAAACTCAAATTCACTATATGTTCTTAGTAAAATAGAAAAAATGAAATAAAAAAAAAAAAAAAAAAAAAAAAATCCGAAAGGTTTCAGATTTTAAATTACGTCCAAAGGGGCGTCTTTGTAACATTATCCGTGTTATCTTTATTTCTTAAATATCATGTTCCTTGCACTTAAACCGTAAAATTCAGTTCAATAGCAATGTCGCAAAATAATTTTAAAATGAGCGTATCTTTAGAATTTCCGATATACAGTTTCGTGCGCTGGAGATAAAAAGGTAAAAGGTTCCCCCCTCCCCGTACAATGTTGCCATTGCTCGTTTTTAAATCGTTGAGTTTGTTACTCAAAAATTCGTTAAAGTTTTACAAAATATGAAATTGATCATAAAACAAATTCCAAATTTGGTCTTCCACATGCCCATATTAGCGCCCATATTAGGAGGATTACGTCATCAAAAATTCGATGGCTCTATGTACCGTTGTTTTATCACATTGCCAGAAATATGCATACATTTATGGCATATTTTTCATTATTTAATTTCTTCAAATATAATGTAGGACTTTAACATTTCGTGGCAACAGCTTGATGAGTGATTTGCCGTTTATAGTGATTCAACGGAAAATCGCAAAACGAAAACAAGAGTCCTTCAGGGACAAAGCCACTTTGGACTAAAAATATGATTCAAACTGATAATTAAAACATAATATAAAAAATTACAATGCAATAAGCAATACATCTCATATTTTAAGAGAAAACAGTTAGCAGTTTAGTATCCAAAGCAATGAATGAAAAACTGTTTCCAAAACCTCATTTCTAAAAGAATGAAACTATCATCATAAAGCAATAACCAATGAAAATTGGCGTTTATAGATGACACAATTCAAAATATACAAACCTCTTTGCCATTAAATAATAAAGAGACATAGAGGGAAAAAAGAGGAAATTCTTTCTGTTGTGCCTCGCGAGACACATGCGCGTCAGAATAACAAAACTGCGATGCGCGTGTTGCGTGTCCAAAAATCAAAAGTAAATAGGCAGCATGAAATAAGCCATATCCCTTTATACAAATACTAATTATTCTAATAAATAAATTAACCAACTTCCCGTTGAAAAAAAAAACTTTTCAGTATCTTAAACACAGTCCAATATACAAGCCATAGAATGAAAAATTGTTGCGAAAACCCTTTTTCTAAAAATATGAAACTATTCAAAATGATGCGATTTCATCAAAAAAGATAAAATAAAAAAGAAATCTGATTCGAATTTTGAAAAAATCGCTTCGAGGTGCAATGGCTCTTGTCTAGAGACCAAATATTGTTATATACCAAATTTCGTAGCCCTGGGTCTATTAGCTTACTCGCAGCACAAACGAAAGACACACAGACAGACTCTTTCTTTTATTATACGTAAGAGATTATAACATTAAAATAGTTTAAAATAACAAAAAATAGTTTAACATCTATCTATAACAAAAGATAAACATCGGAGACTTTAAAATATTATTTTCCGGGATGAAATACGGCGGGCAATATATTGGAATTTATTATAAAAATTTATTTGCATCTGTTATGTTAATCTGTAAAATCTGGTAACTGTAAATAATGTATAGTTTGTGGTAATTGGCAACTTATATCCCACTGCGCAACAAGAATGCTTCCTCGAAAAATGTACTTGCTGTAGAAACTGTTTCTATTCTCGTTAAAAGAATAAATAATTAAACGATATCGTTACAAACGCATCTTATTTCTTATTACGCTAACTGCGCACGCCATCTACGCACAATTGGATTATAATGGTTTAACACTCAGCTACAAGAGGAGATAAATATGGGACAGTTTGAAATATTAGTTATCCGAATGAAATAAGCTAAAATACAAAGATGCAACAGGTTTAGAACAATTTTGAAAAATAAAAAAATACCTTATCGGGTGCGATGTCGAACCACAGATCGGTCGCTTCATTCTTTTCCATGAAACGCAAGTGATTCTAAAAGGAAAGAAAATGACGAAAATACTCCATTATTATGTCACAGACTTTTGTACTGAGAAATGAGAGTCATGAAAATCCTCAGTGGTACAGTTATCACAGTTTTTAATTAAAGATATATTATTTTATATACTATAAAAATATGACTTTCAATGTACAAAAGAATGTTAAACTATGTACACTACGCAAAAAGAAATGGTACTGTTCTATATCTCCCGTTCTACTGGGCCGATTGACGAAATTCAAATTGCATTTCTCATATCACGAAACCGCGACTTAGGATATGTATTACATTTATATATACCATTGTTCAAATATAGGCATTTTACACAAAATCGGATCTTTTCTGAAATGACATGCCCATTTTTTTCCATATTTCAATTCTGAAACTCAAATTATGCCAAACTCCCAAGTTATGTAAAAATCGCTCGAGTAGTTTTTAAAACATTAGCCCTAAAAATTTTAGCTCCTCTATTTTAACTCAATTTCGTATGTACTTATTGATATCTCTTTTTTTTTTTTAAGAAACTTATTTTATTCCTTTCTACGCAGTTCCAAATTCAGATTCATTCCAAATAAAATTCACCCATTTTTTATGATTTATTTTTAAAATTCGTACTTTTAAATAAATTTTATAAATTTTTCGAAAAAAATTTTGAATTATAACCTATATAATTTTTACCATCATCTTAAAGTAGACGTATTTCTAAGCAAACCTGCAAAAAAATTAGAGCTTTATATTCAAAATTTTCAAAGATATACGTGAATTCATATATTGGCGCGTTTTGAAATTTGGCATATTTGTTAAAAGTGATAATGTAAGTAACGAAAATGTGATTTACGCACTTTTTGTTAAAATTATTTGAAAGTAGGAACGAACTTTTTTCCTGCTCATCCACAATGTAAAAAAGGTAGAATAAAATTTAATATTTAGGCATAAGGTTGAGTCGTAGAATAGAAATATGGAAAAAACATTGCTATCTTATTTCAGAAAAAGTCCCATTTTGTGTCAATATATCTATAATAGGACAGAGCTATATAGAAACCTAATATATGTCGCGCTTTCGAGACATGAAAAACGCAATTTGAATTTTGTCAATCGGCCCAGTAGAACGGGAGATATAGAACTCAACCCCTTTTTTTTTTTTTTTTTTTTTTTTTTTTTGCGCAGTGTATGAGTTTGCCATTTTACAACTATACTCACTCTTTGCTGCATTTAATGCAAATTTATTTCCTCAAAGTTCGTTAGAGGTATATCTCTAATTCAAACAATTTAGTTATAACTTCGTGGTAAGACAAAAATACAAAAAATCTGAGTCTTCTTTAAAAATTGTAAAACGGAGAACAAATTAAAACACCAAATACAGTTCAAAACAGTTAAGGAAACAATTTTACAATTAAAATTTAGAATTTCTACGCAAAAAAACAAGCGATTCACCCAGCGGGCAGTAAGACAAAACTCTCGGTGCACAAAACTGAAATTTAACTTTCGGTCACACTGTGCAGAAACACTCTGAAGTTGGTGCATCAATTTACTATTCTACTTAGAATTTCAAATGTAAGCAAACGGCGGCCTCGTTAGGCCTAACAGCACTTAAACTTTCAAACTGTTGATAATTCTACAACTGCTGTTTACAGATAACATAAAAGCATAAAAACCTTAACCGGAACATAACAACAACATAATTCAATTAATTTTAAAGGAAAAAATGCACAATTTACTAACATATATGGTTAAAAAAATTTGATGAGGACACCACCCTGTACCCACATCATAATAATTTTACAATTTAAATAATTTTACAAATACCTTGTATAAGGCTACAGGCTACTAAGTTATACACATTTTCTGTTGCATTTCAATTAAACTTATTTCCTCGAATTTTATGAGAAATATATTTCTCATTCAGTTAATTCAGTTCTCAATTCGCGGCAAGGCAAAAAACTCAAAGTACCTTCATTAAAAATACAGAAAACATAAAACACCAAATACAGTTAAAAAAACAATTGCTGCAATTAAAATTAGAGTTTCAGGGCAAAAACAAGCACTATTCCACAAAGAGTTTCAAAACCTAAATTATTTGTTTACATGTTATTACATGATTTGTTTACATTTAATTATTATTTTGATTCTTAGTCAATTTGCTTTCTAAATTTCTCAAAATCCCTTTTGTTTAAATTTGATTTACTTTTGGTTTTGAATATTACTATACCCAAGCTTCTATGAAAGACAAAACACAAATTCAGTAATTGAAGAGTTAGGTTTGGAGGCAACTTCACCTTGATAATATCTGTCTCCTGCCTGCTCAACAATTATTCACGAATGCAAATTAGTTTAGTCTTAAAAAAATTTTTTAAAAATTTGGGGGATTAATTTTTTGGAATTTTATTTATTCATGGTTTTAGATACTTGCACTTAATTTACATATGCTCTCAGAATTTAAATGATATTGTAAATTAGTTCGCCGCAATAATTAATCATTTATTTATATGCAATTAAAATTTCATAACTAAAATTTAAATTTATTAATTTTAAAGTGGCTTTATACGAATAGAGAGTGTTTGTTAAATATATATATATAAATGTGTGTGTGTGTTTGGTACGGCTGACTGCAACCAAAAAGTAAGTATATGTTATAGCAGTTAAATATACAAAATGACAACGCTCTGAAGCTATTCGTTTTTAAGTTATCCGAAATACATACATATGTATATACGTACGGACGTCACAAAAAATTTTCTTCTGAATCGATTCAAATTCATTTTGCAATCTCTTTTGAAAAATCTGATGTGTACACGACATGACTTAATTGCACGGAATATTTAATTATAAGCATTATTTCCTCCATTTCATTTAAACTTATTACATTTTAATTAACTCTACTTCGTCGATAGCGAACAAACCACAATAGAATAAATGCATTCTATAAAAGTCACTGTATTTATTTACCTGTATAGCGACACTCTGGCGCTAGGTTCACTTAACAGCGTTACACCTCATTCATTTTATAACTCAGAATGCACAAAAATTATATCATCTGAAGAATTATCTAATCGTTGCATCATGTTCTATTCAAAAATCTAAAACGATGTATAAAAGAAATTAGACAAATAAAAAAGAAACAGTTGTTATTGCGAAGCTTAGTTTATTCAGATTGGTAACAAATCCACTATTCTGCTAAGTTTCAAATGTAAACAAATATGGCTGCTATCGTAAAAAGAATTAGGATAAGCCGCACTTAAACAACTTTTAAATGGTTCATAATTCTACAAATATTGCTTCAGGTTAACTAAAGGCATAAAAACCTTAATTGGAAGATAAGAACAACATAATTCAATCATTTTTAAAGCAAAAAATGCACAATTTACAAACATATAAGAATAAAAAAAACTGTGTTTGCGGAGCCGAGTTACAGAGTGGGTATATGTATGTATATATATTTATTTAATTTTGGCGCGGCCGATTGCCACCAAAATACGACGTGCACATCTACATCCTATAGCTGTCCTATAAACAAAATTTGAACGTTCTGAGGCTACTCATTTTTGAGTTATGCGAGATATATACATAGACGCGCACGTAAGGACGCCACAAAAAAATTTCTTTTGAATCCATTTTAAATCAGTTTTGTAACATTTTTGGGGAAAAAAGAGTCCTTTATTCAGTCCATACGTACAGATGTCTCTCCAAAACATCGTTAAATTTCATTCGACAGCTGTCAAAATGGATATTTTCGTTGAAATATGGCAAATTTTCTTGAATACAATACTTTCTTTACTTCATACAAGGAAACAAAAATGCTTGGAAAAGAGCGCGATTTATGTTGACACCTCCCTAAAGCTTGAAGTCAGAAAAGAAGAAATGGGAGGTTACTAGAATTATAATTTGATACGTGCGTTTCATTTGAATATACAGAATGATAAATGTTTAAATGTGTAAACTATATAAAATAACTTAAAAACTGAGAGAAAAATAACTTACGTCAGTGTTATTGACGACCAAGAAGAAGGGTTTGATAACAACGACTCTTGTCAGTAGCATCTTCGACATTTGGACACTCACAAAAAACTAGAATTTAAAGAAAAACAAATGATTAAAAAAAAAAAAAAAAAAAAAAAAACACTAAAAAAAATCTGAAAGGTTTTAGATTTTAAATTACATCTAAAGGGTTTTTTTTTAACATTTTGTGCGTTACATTTATTTATTGAATATCGCGTTCTTCGCATTTAAACCATAAAATTTTGTTCAACAGCAATATAGCAAAACAGTTTTAAATTGAGCCTATCTTTAGAATTTCCGATACAGAGACTCACGCACTGGAGATAAAAATGGTTTTTCTGCACAACGTTTCCATGGCTCGCTTTGAAACCGTTGAGTTTGTTAATCAAAAATTCGTTTTTATTATATAAGTTTTACAAAATAGGAAATCGATAATAAAACAAATTTGTGAAGTTCAAATTTGGTCTTCTAGATGTCCCTGTTCGGTAGGATTACATCATTCAAAATTCGATGGCTCTATATACCGTTGTTATATCGCAATGCGAGAAACATACATACATTTATGCAGATTCTTCATTATTTAACTTCTTCAAATATAAAACAAGGCAATAATATTTGGTGGCAACAGTTTGAAAAGTGATTCGCCGTTTGTAGTGAATCGATGTAAAAATCGCAAAATGAAAACAATGCAGTTAAACGAAAAAGAAGAGGAAAAAGAAAGGAATTCTGGGAAAAACTTATGACTACTTTCCGATTTATAAATATGCCCACCAGGCAGCCGACCAATAAAGTCGCTGAACACTGATAGTTCGGCCCGAGTTTCGAATCCCGCGAACGGACTAGCTGCATGGACGTTTTCCTGGTTTTCCCCATTTCAGGGAACGGAAACAATAGTCCCTTTGGAATAAAAATAAATAAAATAAAAAATCTGAAAGTATTCAGATATTAAATTAGGTCCAAAAGGGCGTTTTTTTACATTTTGTGTGTTACCTTTATTTATTACATATCATGTTCTTCGCACTTAAAATTCAGTTCAAGAGCAATATAGCAAAATAATTTTTAAATGAAAATATCTTTAGAATCTCCGATACGCAATCTCGCGCGCTGGAGATAAAAAGGTTTTTTCTGTGCAACGTTGCCATGGCTCGCTTTGAAATCCTTGAGTTTGTTGCTTAAAAATTCGTTAAAGGTTTACAAAATGTCAAATCGATGATAAAACAAATTCCAAATTTCAAATTTGGGCTTGCACAAGCCCATATTCGTGGGAGGCGTTATTCGTAGCAGAAGAAAATGATGGAGGTCGCAAAAGCTTCGCAAAATACAGTACAAAGTCCGTAATCCGGGCGTCCATTATCCGGAATGATCTATAACCCGGACCTCAAAGCCACAAACTTACGCACGCGCGTTTGATGCGCGCGTCCGCTACGCATGCGCGTAAAGCCAGTAAAGCGTTTACCCATGCGCACTTCCGATAGTGAAGAAAGTTACATTGAAAGAAATGTTTAATAAAGTAAACAAATAAATATTACGCTTTTTTTTTTTTTTTTGGAAATTTTGATACCCTTTAGATCAGAATTGCTCTTTATTTCATAAATTACGGTTTCATATTTTTAATCGTATAATTTCTGCATGCCATCTTACCAGATTTAAATTGATGATCTATAATCCGGAAAAACCCTTAATCCGGAATCACCGAAGTCCCTACGAGTCCGGATTACAGACTTTGTACTGTACTAAAATTTTAATAGCACAAATTTGTCAAAAGTCGCAAATTTTCGGAAAATCTCATGATCTAGCAATACTGCACGCTCTCTGAACAATCCGGTGCTGCTTGGGATGAATGGAAATAGTTTCTTGACATATAAATAAATTTATTGTAGTTTGAAAACTTATCAAATCAATTTTTTTTAAAGACAGCTACATTTTTTTCATGAACGCACAGGCAAGAATAAATGCACTCTTAAACATTCACTATATTTGTTTACCACAGCAACACTCTGAAACTTAATATCAGAAGAAAGGAACTCACGTGATATTTCTTGTTTCTTTCTTTGTCCGAGCAGATGACTACACCGCAGTTGCCTACAGTGTCCAAAGAAAATGACCGAGACCACTGTGAACTGTACACTCGAAGTTTAGCCTGAAAATAAAAACAATACCGGCAAATATCATATTAGACCTTAAAGTCCAACCTCCGGACCAACAGATAACCGCAGAGTAAATAAATAAAAAATCTGATGTGTACACGACATGACTTCCTTGCACGGATCATTAAATTACACGCATTTTTTCTTGCATTTCATTTAAACGTATTGGACTGAATTAAATATACTTCGTCGAATAGCGCATAAACCACAAAAGAATAAATGCACTCTTTAACATTCACTATATTTGTTTACCACAGCGACACTCTAGCGCTAGCTTCACTTAATAGCGTTACATTTCGTTCATATTATAAATCAGAAAGCATATAAATTTATATCACTTGAAGCTATAACGTTGCGCGCCTCTAACTAGCACGCAACCAAGAGGTGACTGTGAAAGCTTGTATAAACCACAGAGTCTTATAAAGGGTTTAAGTCCCTTTTTATTCAACGTACTAATTTACAATTGCGTTCTCTTGACGCTTACAAACGGTGCCAACTCGGCAGTCAAAATAAAAATAAAAACCTGAAAAGAAATTAAAGACAATATTCTAACTACGAGGCTCTCTCAATAACTAACTCACCGCGTTTTTACAATACGGCTGCTAATTCAGCAGACTTGAAGCTCACTGGAACAATTGCAACTACTTCCCGCCAAGCACATAGGCCGCAACGCGGGGTTTTTCAAATATCTATAACTACCTCCGCGCTCGCTTAGTAAGAATAACTCTCTCTCACCGAACTTGTTTCCTTCTATTTAAATCATACTACTTCCGCTGATAATTTGAATGCTTGCGCGTTCTACTCAAATTTACATATTCTGGCATTGGCAGTTCCAGGGGAAAGTAAGGATTGACAGGAAAGATAGTTTAAACTTAAAATAAATGTTAGTTAAAATAAATATAAACCCTACAAAGCAATACCTAATCGTTGCCACATGTTCTATCCAAATACTATAATAAAGCTAGAACGATTTATAAAAGGAATTAAGCAAACAAAACAAAAAAGAAACACTTTTTCTCAGACGATTCAGCATTTCTCATTCAATTAATTTCAGCTCTCATTTCCCGACAAGACAAAAATACATAAAAATTCAAAATATCTGTATTAAAAATTACGAAGTAAATCTGAACCACTTATTTCCTCGATCAAATTCCAGAATGGATTAAGCATGATTTAATTCGAAATAATAAAAGAAAGCATTATCTTTGTTGTTGCGAAGCTTAGTTTCTCTAGATTGGCAACAAATCCGCTAATTTGCCAAGTTTAAAATATAAACAAACATGCCATCGCAAAATTCATTAGGCTTCGCTGCACAAATTTTAAATTGTTGATAACTCCACAAATATTGCATGCAGATTTACTAAAGGCATAAAAACCTTAACCGGAAGATAGGAACAACATAATTCAATCATTTTTAAAGCAAAAAATGCACAATTTACAAACATATAAGAATAAAAAAGAGCTCACTGAGCCGCGTAACAGAGTGGATATATATATACATACATATACTTATACACTTTTGGTTCGCCCGATTGCAACCAAAAATACGAGGTGCACATTAACATGCTACAACAGTCCTACATACCAAATTTCAACGTTGAGACACAAATGTTTTTTTACCTTCAACGTTGCCATTCCTCGGTTTGAAATCATTGAGTTTGTTAACCAAAAATTCGTTAAAGGTTTACAAAATATGAAATCGATAATAAAACAAATTTCAAATTTTGGCTTCCAGATGCCCATGTTCGCAGTAGGATTGCGTCATTCAAAATTGGATGGCTCTAAGTACCGTTGTTATATCACAATGCGAGAAACATACATACATTTATGCAGATTCTTCATTATTTAATTTCTTTAAATATAATACAAGGCGATAGTTTTAGTAAAATATAATACAGGGCTTGGGGTTTTAGCTTTAACCTGACGTTTTAGAGCGGTGCCTACCGAGGCCGACTTTGTGTTGGCTGGGCTGCCTCCTCTCTCAATTTTATACGAATTTTATCATGAGAAAATTTCTTTTAGAACTGGACGAATGGAATTGGAAATGTATGAAGATTATTTAGTTACAAAGAATGTTTTTGAAAAATTTCATATTCATTTAATACATCCTTCCAATAGATTTGGATTTGTTTTTGATAAAAGTAATCCAACTTTGATGTATTTGATATTTATACAGATAATTCTGGGGTCGAAGGAGCGTAGGAGCTGCCTTTGTTGTTTTTTACTATGGAACTGAGGTGGATTATAGAATGTTCAAGTTGAATATATATAATTCAGTTTTCCAAGCAGAAAGTGAAGCGTTCAAACAAGCCTTATCATGGATTAAAAATACCTTGTTTATACCTACGTCTGTAAATATTTATACTGACTGCCTGTCACTTCTTCATGAGCTCTCCCGCCCAGACAATTTCAATACATTAACTGTCGAAATTAAGAGTCATTTAGAAACTTTGAGTTCATATTTAAATATTAAGCTACATTGGGTTAAAGCCCATACAGGCTTTATGGCTAATGAGAGGGCCAATAGCCTGGCCAAGCAGGAGGTCCCAAATGTCAGTGCAATGGATATTGAAGTAACAGGTTCGAAGAGAATTGCTATTTGAAGAATAAAAGAATGTTATGTTAACAAATAGAAAATACAGTAGTTCTCTTCACCTAAAAACATAGGACTTATGGAACTAATTAAAATCACGAATAAAATTAAATCTATGGACAATATTGATGTTAATCAGGTTTTTAACTGGACATGGTAGGTTTCCGTTCTATTTCAACCGATTAAATCTGCAGGAAAATAAACTATGCAATAGTTGTCAGGTTGATGGTGATGCTAGGCATTTCGTGTTTGATTGTAGTTTAACAGCCCCTATTAGACAGATTTTTAACATCACTGATTTTAATGCAAGTGTCATTAATTTTAAAGTTTTAAATTATGTACTATTGCTCTAATGAAATTTATCAATGAAAATAGGGCGCTTAGGAATCTCCTGTTAAAATTGAATTCTGTGGTATGTTGTGAATTTGTGTTTATGTTTTGTTTGTTTGTTGGTTTGTAATTTTGTGTTAGATGTGCTTACTTATTTTTAATTTAGTATTTTTGCTTGTTGTTTGGGGGTGGCTAGGTTACTGGCTGCTCTCGTTTGTGGAGATACGGGACCCCTTCTTTTGAGCTATAGGGACACTCGTGTCCAGGTGGGCTGAAGGGAGCCTCCAATTCTTAACAATTCTTACAGGGCGATAATATTTAGTGGCCAACAGTTTGAAAAGTGATTCGCCGTTTATAGTTTTCAACACAAAATGCCAGGACGAAATTAATAGTCCTTCAGGGCAAATTGCTCCTTTGGACGAATTTAATATCTGAAATCTTTCAAATGTACTTTTTATATATATATATATATATATATATATATATATATATATAAAAAATTTCGCAGAAAGTACACTTGAAACGATTTCAATAAAGTCAAGCGGAAGAAATTGCACACAATTCATGTTATGTGTTTGAATGTAAACAAAAACTTACCTTTTTCTTGCGATGCTTCTTGAAGCGAAACAACAGAGGATCAGCGGTGCAGGCTGCTTCGTAAACGGCATCGGACATGGCACCCTGGGAAAAAAAATTATGTGTACATCACATGACTTCCTTGTGCGGAATATTAAATTATACACACTTTCTTGACACTTTTGAAAATTAAACAGACAAAACAGAAAAAAAAAAGAGTTTTTCACAGACGAATGAGTATTTCTCGCACAGTTAATTCAGTTTTCACTTAGCGATAAAGCAAAAATACATAAAAACTCAAAATATCTGTGTTCAAAATTACGAAGGAAATCGTAAACACTTATTTCCTCGCATAAATTCCAGAATGGATTAAGCATGATTTAATTGGCAATAATAAAAGAAGACGTTAATTGTTGTTGCGAAGCTTAGTTTCCTTAGATTGGCAACACATCCACTATTTTGCTAAGTTTCAACTGTAAACATATATGGCCGCTATCGTAAAAATAATTAGACTTAGCCGCACTTAAACAACTTTCAAATTGTTGATAATTCTACAAATACTGCATTTAGATATACTAAAGGCATAAAAAACCTTAATCCGAAGATAAGAACAACACAATTCAATCATTTTTAAAACAAAAAATGCACAATTTACAAACATATAAGAATAAAGAAACTGAGCTCACTGAGCCGAGTAACAGAGTGGATATATATATATATATATATATATATACACACATACTTATATACTTTTGATGCGACCGATTGCAACCAAAATGGGAAGTGCATGTTTTAGCAGTCCTATACACAAAATTGCAACGTTCTGAGTCTACTCGTTTTTGAGTTATGCGAGATACATACATACATACATGCGCCACGAAAAATTCTCTTTAAAATTCGTTTTAAATCCGTTTTATAATTTTTTTGGGGGGTAAAAGTGTTCTTTATTCTCTCCTTACGTACAGATGTCACGCAAAAACATCTTTAAATTCATTCGATAGCGGTCGAAATGGATATTTTCGTTGAAATATGATACCCGAAACTATTAGTGATTACAATACTTCCTTTTTACTTCGTACGTACAAAGCGAGTAAAAATTGATTACAATTCGATGATACCGCGTTTGCTACACGAAATCAAATATAATACTATTTGCTCCTTAATAAACGCAGTTCGCTGAGTAATCAAACATTAATTACAGGCTTTGCCCTAATATTTGCCCTTATATTAATTATATAAATAAAAAGAATTATCATGGCAATTCCTTAAAAACACTACGCATCCAGAAAATTCACTAGCCGCAACTATTTTCGTAAACTTCCATTTACAGCACAACTCCAATTAAACGAATCGTTTTCAGAATTTAAGAAAAAAATAAAGACGGTAACGTACTGCGATTTGAAGAATAAATTCGAAATCTGTGTCGCCCAATTTTGACAGTAAATCGCAAAATCTTTCGAAAATTCCTGGATGTTCAGAAGCTAGTGCCGAGGATACAGTAGAATGGATGGAGTGTAAATCGTCAGACTGTGGGTTTCAAATTCTAAATGATGATGAGCTTATTGAAAGTGTGAGAGAAGAAAGTGTCGAGGAAGAAGACGACCTTAATGTCGAAGCAGACATGGGACCATCAGCTAGTGAAGCGTTTGTCGGCCTTGAAACTACGTCGAAGTGGATGGAACGTCAGCCCGAGTGTGACCACATGCAATTTTCTTATTGTCAAGCGGATGCGCGACTTGGCCGCCCGAAAACGGATGAAGACAGCTTACTTTGACCGGGATGCTCAGCAAGCATTGACTTTCGACACTCGTAAGCACTACAGCACGATATACAACATGTACATTAAAGTGTTGCCTATTCATTTTCATTAATTAAAACCTCTTTTTCTTTAAAAGTAGTTTTTTTCTCCCATTTTCAACATACAGTAATTAATTAAGGTGTACGTACACCTTTCTTCGGAAAAAATCCAATTATCCGAATTTTTCATTATCCGAATAGTGTTCTGTCCCAGTTGATTTGGATAATTGGAGTCCTACTGTATACTTATTTTACTACTGTACTACTTATTTTAGCATTCAGAATTGCCCACTTCAAATATAAATCGCAGAAAATCGATTTTCAAATATACATTGCTGCTGCCATGCACAAATTACTAAAGTATATCAAAAAAATTTTAATTGAAGTTTGCTCATGAGCCAAGAAATATAAAATACAAAAAGTGAACATTAAAATAAAACTGTATACTTAACATTTTCCATCTTTTGATAATAAATTATGATCAAAACGTAAAATTACCACTTTTAGGCATATTAAGATAGAAATAATTAAAAAAATTCTCTTTCAAAGCTTACCATTACAAAAATGTCAGTAACGCTTAAATTCCCAGTTCTTATGCATGACAGTAACGAAGTTTAAGAAAATAAATGCAAAAATAATAGCTACCACTTTTATTTTATAAAAATGAATACTTATATAAGAGTTAGAGAAAAAATACAAAAATTTTAATTTTTTGTTCACGAGTGTGGATATTTAGTTGTTATCACAGTTTCGTGGATAATATCCAGGAAGAGTCTATCAATGTCCACGAGAAGTTGTTCGCTCGATTCATTAAGGTGGCAAGCGATCGGATGGATGGAAATGGGAATGTCACAAGCTGATGCTGCTGGACGTCTCAATGTCCCTCGAAGTGTGAACCACCGACTATGGAATCAGTTCCAATCTAAGGATTCTGTGCGTAGAAAACATGCTCCAGGCAGACCCAGTGTTACGACACCTACGGAAGGCCGTTATTTAGCTCCTTCGGACCGAAAGAGGAATTATTGTGTCTCAGTTCATGGCAGATCATTTCGTGGCAACAGGAACAAGAATCGCAGCTACTACAATGTGCAGACGCCTGCACAATACAGGTCTGTATGGTAGATGATCAGTTGTTTCTGTCCCCCTGACCCGAGGAAACTGAGGTGCCTGTTTATGTTGGGCAGGAGAACACGTTTTCACGACCAGTCAACAATGAGTGTTCTCTTCACAGACGAGTCCAGGTTTACACTGTAGAGTGATTCAGGTCGTCAGCTGATCTGGAGGGAACAACGCACCAGATAAAAGAAATCTCACATTGTGGAAAGAATATTTTGTGGTGGAATCCTGGTTTGAGCTGGGATTTCTCTCGGTGGTAACACTGACCTGCAGGTGTTCCATGGAGGAACTTGGACCGGTGTGAGATAGCGAGACAAGATCCTCGATCTATATGTCCGCCCATATGCCGCTGCCATTGATCCTGGATTTCTTCTGAACGACGACAATGCGCGACAGCACCGAACTCGGGTTCATGAAGAATTTCTTGAGGGCCACGGTATGGAGGGGATGGAATGGCCAGCTCAATCCCAAGACCTGAATCCGACAGAGCATCCTTGAAACTATCTTGAGAGCTACCTTTGAGACTACCGCTGCCTCCAATGTATTGCAACTAGGGGTGGAGACACTCCTTATTAGAATCCATTTTTGTAATGTTACCACCCCATGTTTCCTCAAAAAACTGCGATATACTGTTCCTCCAAGACTGGATTTCTCTGCCAAGAGTGCAATGTTTTTTGTAATTCATATTTGTATTGAACTTTAGAAACATTCTATGTCGTATTCATTAAAGAACTGCTTAGTGAACATGTCCTGTAAATTTCTTGTTTCTATGTTACTTCATTCTCAAATTAGACACAAAAAACATGCTGTTCCTTAACTTTTGGAGGGCAGTGTATATTGTTGCGTGCGTACGGGTTCGTAATGGATTGAATGCACACAGAACCGATGTCAGATTGATAAAAATTATTTTTCCAAAATCAACAATTTATTCTTCTGGAACTTTCCACAAATATACTCATATAGCCCTTTTCCATATGACAGAGCACAACCAGTAGTTACCACTTCAAGCTACCAAGAGCGTTAAAGATAACGCACGGCAAAGCGCATCTAAAGAGCGAAGCTCGCGCAGAAATTTCAGTATTCCGAAGTCAACTTTGAACTGGAAGAAAAAAAATCTGAAAACTGATACTCTCTCCGGGCTTGTACAATCGGTTCAATGTCATGTATGTCCTGTATTGGTTCAATGTCACCGTCTTGCTACTGGTCATTCCTGAATTCTTCGTCACTCCATTGGTCACGATCAGCCAATGTATAAGTTGTGACTTACTTGCGACCTGTTTAGCCAGCTCGTATTTCGCTTCAAACCTGGAACAATATCGGTAACTTCCAGGGCAGGATTTCTCAGAAAAGGCTCGCCGCTTCAGTGTGATGATAATTTCAGTTGGAGAGTGGTGATGTCCTATTGCTGGAGTTTCTATATCCATCTAGCTCTTTAGGTCTTCGTGTTTCTTGAAGTTCCAAAGCCACGTAAACGATGCATGACCGGTACTGAGCAGGAATTTGTTGCCTTAGAAGTAACAGGAAATGTTCAATGACTTTAAATATGGCGATCAACACTTTAATGGGGGCATAGTAATTACTGCTCTGTTCAGATAAACACGTACTCCCTACGACACGTGGCACCGCGCTGGAAGGTTCGTTCCGGTATGCATTATGGAGAATTCTATTTTGCAATACGACAACGCCACGTATATGAAAACGAGGCACTACTGAACGACAGGAATGCCACTGCTGCCAAAGGCGTGACTGATCACCAGAATCACCAGATTATTTTCAATTGGAACATACTATGATCGCATGAGAACTAGACAGTAGTCAATACTACTTGTTAACTGTGAACTCTGATAAATAAGACCGCATAACAAATCCCAAACGTGGCAGTGAGCCTCGAAATAGCTGGAGATGACAGGCGCTATCATTTCGAGCTACTTCAGAAATGACAGTGACATCCCCAATGACATCCATATGGCGATGACGGACAGTGAATCTTCCTCTTTACAGTTGGCACAACATTAGACTCAGCTACAGTATGCCACTGCCAGCTTTGCTTGTATGTGTAGGATTCTCTTGACGCAAAATTAAGACCACAATTAAGATCTTTTGCAATGGAAATTGTTGGGGAGCGCGCGGTGTTGGAGCAGGTATCCATAGCGAACGTTTTAGTTTCTACTTACCAATGCGCCCTCTTTACT